AAATATACGTATTTTGGAAATGTTGAGTCGGATTAGTGTAGAATCGATTAATTTTATGGAAGAAAACCTTTCAATCAGCCGTAGTCCGTAAACTTGACACGTGTCGGGCTGTGATTGGAACGACTTGTAAGAAATCGGATTCCTAATAAATTGGAACGTATCTATATCTTATAGGGGGGTCGACTGTACAACCTCATTCGAGATATGATACATGACACCCTCTATTCCTCCAACCTCTTGACCTTTAACCATCAAAACATTTAATAGCACCAATTCCCTAATACGCAAACCTCCCAGCAAAATTTCAGAAATTTTCAATGAAAGCACAGGTTCAAAATGGGTGGAAAAACACTAACATCCATATATACAGAAAAAAAAACCCAAATTTTTGTTCATTTCTTAACATCAGAGCCGGCCCATAGGGCGAACGGAGCAGCCGCTCCAGGCGCTAAGTCCTGGGGGACGCCTCAGTGGTAAAAAAAGTAAAGGAAAAAATATTTTTTTTCACTTTTTGATATTTTAATTGCAAGCGTGTGGTCAGTATGTGAATGGCCTTATCTGTTGAGACGCGCGTGGGTCGAGTGCGTGGACGGGGTTCCACCCCCGGGTGCCATAATAGGATCTCGCTCCATCCTAAAACTTGCTTCGGGCCGGCACTGCTCAACATTACAAGGTCCCAAGTCAAAAAATTAAAAATCTTGGGAGGGTCATTTTTCCGTTTGTTATATATAACTGGAAAATGAAAAGGCTTCTGATACTACAAAAGGTTTTTTTTAAATACTTGTGGACTATACTGCTGATTTTGCTCCATCTATAAGAATTTGCTCTTATATCCAAATACAACAGCATACTTATAGGCAAGGAAATATAGTACTAACTGTACTCACTTTTAAATAGTAATACTTTAACTAGGTTGAATAAATGCTAATTTTTCAACCTAGTTAATGAGCCATCCTTAGGTGTGGACGTGATATGCCTGAGGATGTCTCATTCACCAAGCCAGATATATTATCATTTCTCCAACCTTATCCACTGTTAAAGCTCTATTGCTTACAATTAGATTAAATTACTTATAGAAAAGTTGTTTATTATTTTATTAACATTTAAAACATTCAACTTTTACAACATAAAATCACATTTGTTTATGCAAATATATTTCTAATCTTTGCATTTTCAAAACAAAATGCTGATTAAAAATAAATAATACTCCAAAATGATTATGACTGAAGGCATTGCAAAATTAAAATAAAACTCAAAAGTAAAAATTAAAAGATTCAAAAATGAAATTAAATAAATTCTCAAAAGTTTCTTTGGTATTTTTTTTTTTAAACAAAGAGACCTAAATTATATAGAAATTTTTTTTTGTATGCTGCTATATTGATAATTAACTTACATTGTGGAAGTTCTTCAGTCTTAAAATGCATTATCATAGTATAAAATAAAAAAATAACTTTATGTTCCACATAAAGCATTTTTTGATGAATTATTGAGTCCATCAGTGGCCATGCAGTTCTGTTCCTTGAACACTAGGAATTCGGAATGGTGGAAATTAGTTGTGGGTTTGCACCTTGCCAGGATGGGCTTGCCAAGTGGAGTTTTCCAGGTTTTCTCCACATCTAATGCCTGAATAGGGGCCAGTTACCCATAAACAGACTTCCCAGAAGGCATTCTCCCTAGATAGATTGCCCAAGTGTTGTGTTGCCGTAACAAACAAACAATTGATGAATTATTGTAGTTCTTTTAGTTGTGTAAACTTATTTTAAAAATTTATTTTGATAAGTAGAATGTCTGTAATAACTACTACTAGTCTGATATTACAGTTTGTAAAAAACAGTTTGATATATTAATTTTATAAATATATTAGGGCATAATACAAGACAAAATAAATGAATAAACAAATTTTTTTTTCTATAATAATAATATATTATTATTATTTTAAAATTAGTTAATACAGAATGTATTAACTTTAATTAATAAACTTGAGGGATATTTTATTATAAAAGCCATCGGATATAAAATACTGTAAGATTTATTTATAAAGATTTTCAGCATTTTAAAGTCATTATTAATGTAATAATATGGCCATTTGAGCAGAAATTTAATGTTCAGAATGTATGAGTTCTCAAGAACTACTACTTAAACCAGACTCTGCTTTAATCTGTTAGATAAGGTCATCTCTTAAATATTAATAAAATTTATAAGAAAGTAAATGAAAAATTTATGGTTTTATATAAAGAAAAATTTCTGAAGACAACTTGATGTAATATTTAATAATAATAAACAAGGAAAGAAATAAAGTATTAATTTAAAATGTACATATGACAAACTTACCAATTCTATTAGCAATCTTAAGATTGATTCCTGTTCTTTCTGTTTTTATTTTGATCGTGATCCTTATTTCTCTTATCACAAAATAAATCAATATATTTTACCATTCATCATTGATCATAAATCATAAATATTTTTAGGAAAGCTCAGATATATAGATGAAAGAATAAACAATTGTTTGGTCTATCTCTATGACCACTTTAATAGTAATAGTGTCTATTGGAATATTATTGATGTCTATATTTAAAAAAATCTAAGTGATTTATTCTATGCTATAATTTTCTCATTTCAATCAGCCATAAAATGATGTGTTTTGATACATTAGTTTTTAAAAAAAATTCTTATACAATATTGATCAATCAATATAAATGTGAAAAATACATATTGTCAAGTAAACATGTCATTTCATTCAAAATTTACAAAATTTGAGATAGGAAGAGAAAATTGGATTTTAATCTTCAGCATCAAAACGTTTATTATATTTTAAACAATGTTTTATTTAACTTCCAGGCATTTCTGATGGTCTTTATATCCATTTTAAGAAATACACTTCCATTCATACAATAATCATATAACTAAATCTAATAACAATAATATAACAGAAATGAATCACTGCCTGATTTAAAAATAAGTAGATTATAGGCAAAGTTTTTAAATATAATAATAATTGTTTAATTATGTTATGTAAATATTTGTGCAATTCTTTTAAAATTGACATTTAAGTTGATGAAATATTTTAAGTTTCTGAAATTGTATTAATGTATTAATTCTGAAATTGTGACATTGTATTAATATATGATGATTTATTAATTTCCTAAATAAAATCTTTTTGTATTAAGAGTATTTGTTTTACATTAACATAAATACCAATAAATTTGAAAAATCAGCAAGGTAATGGACTTTATGATATCAAATAATAACAAGTTTTGTAAATAATTGCAATTCAACTTATCAAATATGATTATACAGTTAAAATATAGTGTGTAGGGTTGTTGAGGGAGTGGGAGTGGGAAATTTTCCCTGTGCCTGGAGAAAACTTATGGCCCTTTGTACTGTACTCCCTACCACTATAAATTAAATATTATTTTTACTAACAAAAAACTAAATGCAGAGTACTTTGGCCTAAGTAAAATTTAATAAATTAATCAGTTTTTTGTTAGTAAAAATAATTAAATGCAGCATTCAGTTAATAATAATAATAGTAATATAGCTGGATCTAATTGAGCAATGTTTGGCTTTGTGTATGAACTTTTTCAAAAATAAATGGCAAAGGCTGGCCACAGCCATACTGTATTTGCATAATAAACACATCTATCAGCAATAATCAGAAAACGAATTTGGTGAACGTTAATAAATTCGTTTTTTTGCAAAATATTTTATAAAATCCAATATTAATACATAAATAATTCATTAGCCTATGAAATTTATAACAATAAAGAGCAATTTCAAAACTTTATTCTATTAAAATAAATACTGATTTGGGCTTAATCCAATATTTATTTAAAATTAAAAAAAATAACTATGAATTATGTCTTTAGGAATAAAATTAAAAATTTTTTGTGTCAATTCATCTAAAATCACAAATTGCAAGTTACAATATCATTAAAATAGTAATAAATTATTTTTTTTTTTTTGTTTTTAGTAAATACATACTTTCGAAGTTTCGGCAGAATATTAGATGCGCCGATTGAATATTTAATAAAATTTTCAAGATAAAATTCAAGAATAAATAATTATTAAAATTTCATACAAGTAAAGGTTCATTACAATAAACAAAATTTAGAAATGAATTTTATTACAGTATTTACTCATTTTAAAAATGAAAACTTTTCGAAGTAAAACAAAGACTTTATCAGCATATTGTTTAGATTTTATACAGCGATCTGACAATTTTGTTATTTACCGAACGAGTTTTATAATTAAATTTATCTAAAAATGCAATCTGAACGATTTAAAAGTACCATAAAGATTTTAATGTTTTAAAACAAATCTGTTCAGTGTCTAAACGCTTGTAAACACAGAACATCCATTTTCTCTCACAAAAACTAAAAAATTCTTTCCTTTAATGGCCAACTTTTAAAAAACCCTTCTTATTCGCAAATCACCTAATTATTTTAAAAAATGGTAAATTGTTCAATTAATTAAAAAAAACTTTCATCCTTAACGAGACGGAGCCGAGATAAAAATCATTCGCAACTTATTTAATTTATAATTAAAGAAAGAACGGTAATAAATAAATAAAATAAGATAAAAAAGCGACCACGTTTCGAGTCGAACGCTAACAAATCAATTTCAATTTTTCCGCAAACGCCAACTCCACCCTAAGGAAAAAAAACAAGAACCAATTAAAATCCATCCGCCGGCTAATCAGAGCCGATAACCAATAGAAGCGAGGCCGGTGTTAAAATGACCAATGAGCGGAGGATCCGTCGTCACTGTGACGACACAAGTATATCCCGGGCCGAGGGATGATAATTTTGGAGCAGTGCGGCGCGGAAGCTGTGCTGGTTTGCGGCACGGCTGCGGATCCCGTTTGTAGATTAGTTTGGTGTTATAAAGGAAAAGAAGAAAAGAAAAAAAATTTTATTCGTCTTTATTTTTATACATTTAAAAAGTTTTTTAATTTCATTTTATAATTACGTCCTGTGATGCCTGCTAGTCTGTTTACCGATATGGATCATCACGGGGGAGGTCTAGAAGAACAGAGAGCCTTACAGTTGGCGTTAGAACTGTCTCTGCTCGGTTTAACGGCGGATAATGACATATCCGCAATAGGTAATGGCTTCGACGTCGAAGTTCGCAACAAGAAGAGTCAGAACACGACGGAATGTGTACCTGTACCAAGTTCGGAACATGTGGCCGAGATTGTAGGAAGACAAGGTAAAAACACATCATCCTTTGTTCCTCGACCCGTTTCCTTTGTTCGCCGGACCCACATGTCCGGAGCCATGATTGTCATTTCACTTTTCCTCTCTCCGCTGCTTCTAAAATGATCTATTAATCTTTGCCTTGACCATTTCTGTTTCCTATTGTAATTCTAGTGTTTCGTTTAGGTTATTAAAAGCAAAATGGAGTTTTCTGTTCGATCCGTTTTATTTTATTATTATTTTTTTTTTTTTTGGTAGCGTACGTCTTCGACCGTTATTTAATTTAAACGTAAGCGGTTATTGACCAAATATATAAACTGGCCGTTTGTAACGGTCGATTAGAAGCTTTATATTATTATTAAAACAAAACAAAAAAAAATAATATTAAGCGCGGGAAAAGTTTTACACATGAATGACAACTTCCTACAATAACATTACACTACAAACTACTTTGTATGTATTGTAAGGGAAATTGATAATTAATGATGGAACCAGTTAACTGTTAACATATTTAATCTTTTTCGTAAAATTGATTATTTAACAAGACGTTTAAATGTAAATTCGTTTTAATCTTCGCTATAATTTTATGAAACTGATCGAATAAACTATTGTTATTATTTCTAGATTGTTTGTATTGATTGAAAAATATATATATATATATTTTAGCAGTTCTTAGAATCAATCAGATATGTTAGTGTTTGAATTGATAATTGCTGTTTTTGGGTGGTATTTGTATTAGTGAGTCTAAATATAATTTTATAATTTTGAAATTATATTTAAACTATTTCATATAAACATTTTCATTTAAATAGTTAAGTAATGAGCTAATTTTTTATGGAATTTGAGAAATATTTTGTGTTTTAATGACATTTTATGTAATTCTACTTTTGAATGTTTTTTTTCCTTCTTTTTAAGATATACATTTTATATTTATTGTTTAAATTTATATAATGCACTACCAATAAAGTTTATAATTATAATGACTAAAATATTTAATATTTCAGGTTGCAAAATAAAAGCTTTACGTGCCAAGACAAATACTTATATAAAAACTCCCGTACGAGGTGAAGAACCGGTGTTTGTCGTCACGGGAAGGAAGGAAGACGTGGCGGCTGCTAAGAAAGAGATTCTTTCGGCTGCTGAGCATTTTAGTCAGATTCGAGCGCAACGTAAGAATAATATGAACGGTTCACTTGTTCCTGGGCCCAATTCTAATCTTCCGGGTCAAGAAACGATCCAAGTAAGAGTTCCTTATCGTGTGGTTGGCTTAGTAGTGGGTCCAAAGGGTGCTACAATCAAAAGGATTCAGCAACAGACCAATACATACATTGTAACTCCAGGCAGATACAAAGAACCTGTGTTTGAAGTTACAGGGATGCCTGATAATGTTGAAAATGCAAGAAAAGAAATTGAAGCTCACATTGCCATGGTTACAGGTGGAATGCTAGATTCACAAGACTTAAAGGATATTTGTGTTAATGACGTCGATTACTCGTTCACAGTAAATATGAATGCGGCAAATGGATTTATTAATTCTGTATCAGAATTAAATTCCGGTTTTACTTATGACAGCAATAATATTCTTTCGGAACATTCCCCAGACTTATATTCTTTTACATCTCCATCTTCCAATGAATCTGTGAAGTTAACAGATATATATTCCCATTCGGTATTTGCAAATGGTTTTACAAATAATTTTGGTTTTTATGATACTGACGAATCTCATAATTATGACTCTGTTGTTACCATATCTTCTAGTACAGCTTGGTCAGAATTTGATACTTCTCCAGACACATTATTCAGCACAGCAGCTTCTACAAGCACTAGCACAACATTTAGTAACTTGAATCATTGCAGTGATCCATCTACAATTCAGAGTTGTGAAGACGCTTCTCGCATCCACACCGATGCGTTGAATGGCAGCATATCTTCTTTTCCATCACTTTCAAATGGAACATCCGTGGGCACAAATGAAATTCTTATCAATAGTTTTCCTACAAATTCTAGTGGTAGTTCTGATAGCAACGCAAGCAGTCCTACTGAAGGAAGAAAAATAAAGAGAGACTGTGTTGTATGCTACGAAAGTGAAGTAGTGGCAGCACTCGTTCCCTGTGGTCACAATATGTTTTGTCTCGAATGTGCCAATCGTATCTGTGAAAAGCCAGGCTCAGAATGTCCAGTATGTCGTCAGTTAGCATCTCAGGCTATCAGAATCTATTCTTAAAATTTGTGCATAAGGCACCTTTTTTATATAGTTATTAATTAGTCTGTGATTATATCACTTCTTTGATTCATTATCACATGACCAGTTTAGACTTTTTCCTATTAGAGAACATACCACAATATGGCTTGACTTAGAAATAGTCTTTAAAGACTTTTCAACATTATTATAAAAAATATCTAAAAGTATTAAAAAAAAGTACAGATGATTTTATTCTTTGATGTAAAATTTATAAGTAAAAAAAATTATATATATATACTTCTTACTAAACAAATTTTTGACAAATGTAGTGATTACCAAAATGCACATAGCTTGGTTGCTGTTTTAAATCTTAAATAAAAGTTGCTTTTTAAAAATATTTTATTCATGTTTTAGTCAGTTCCTACATATATTCACTGTTGTGATTTGTATGGGGGCTTCTATGCTTGAAAATGTAAACTATTATAGATTTTAGTATTATTTTAATATTGTTTAGTAATGGTTATTTTTAATATATTTATGTTGTTTGTATATGTAGGAACAAATGTTATTTTATGCTATATTTTTCAATGTTTATTATAAAACAGAGTTAACATTATTTTTCATGTAAAAAATGTGGAGGCAAGAACGAGTGTTTGTTGTCAAATGTTATTTTATTGTAGTCTTCCATTTTTTTTTTGTTTATCCACAAACCTATGCACATTGGTTTTGCCATATTTCTTTATCTGTTCTATATCATTATTTGCTGTGATTTCCATAAAAGATCTTTCTTATGCAATAATTGGAGAGTGGAAAGATACCAATCTCCACATATGCAATTTCTTGTCATTTTTAAGTATGAATTGATATTATGATGGACTTAGCGATGTTTTGTGCTAGATCTGACATCAAATGCTGTAAAAAAAATCAAATTTATTTCAGAAATGCTCACACATTTTACAATATCAGTATTGCTACTATTTATAAAGAATGCTAATATAATGTTGCCTTATTAGGAGAATATTTATGTGAACAATAACTCATTCTTTAGCTTAATAATTTTAATAATTATGACCAGTTGTGTATTCTTGTAAACCAAGTCATTTTCTTGGAGGATACAGAGCTGCAATAGATTTACCATAAAAGAAAAAACTTTAGTGTTTTCAATTCTACATACAAATGGTTTATAAAACTATTTAAAAAAAAAGAGAGAAAAAAAGGAATTCCAATCTGAAATTATTCCCATATATTTTATTATTCAAGTTTTAAATATTAATGAACAAATGTATTTTGGATTTCAAATAAACCATACCTTTGGGTACTTAATTAGTGGATTTAAAAATGTTAATTTTTTCATGTTTGCTAATATTTTGACTTTGTGAACAGCGATTCACCAGAAATAAAGTTATCTAAAGTTTCCATATTTCACCTGTCTCTGTCCACTGATTTCGTCGTGCCGCGGCATAAAATTTCCCAGAACAAAAACACTCCAAATTTATTTCCATTATATTTTTTCAAGACCAAACAAAAGTTCTTTAACACCAATATCTTTCAGGATGTCTGCAATCGCTTTCATCTACCTGTCGAGGAATGCAGACAGACCAGATTTACTCTTTAGCAAAGTATTCCAGTAGGGCCGATGACACAATCACCCGAGTAAAAAATAAAAATCAAGTCCAAACAACTTTCTTTTTCCCCTACAAATTCTGCTTTGGCGGTCAAGGTTACCTGTCCAAACCAGTTTTGTCATAATAGCTTTAGTAGTGTGTCTGGTTGTGTCTTTTTTCCCCCATATACTTTTGTTCTACATTAAAAACAAGTTAGATAATAAAGGGGAGGTGAAGATTTAAGGTTATTCAATGACATTCTGTATAAAGAAAACACATGTTTATGTAATGCTTGCATATGAAGACCTTTAACAATACTTTTTTTTAAAAAAATGTCTTATAGTAGTAACTTACCCACGTTTTATTATTATAGACTCGTCTAAAATCCAAATTATATTTGAAAAATAATAATAATGGAAGCTAATTTAGTATATATTTTTTTCTGTAATCGATTTTAATCCGAAATGAATATTTTACGTCACAAAAATCAATGACGAAAGATACAACATATAGGTGTTACTAGAATTGCAAATTTATAACACAGAAATGGTTTTTTATTATTAAATTTGAATAGTTAATAATTAATACAGTCGTTAGCCGAGTTAACCGCGAAAAATATATAATTCGTCAAAAATAAATTCCACGTACAGATAGCGGGACGAATCGATAAAACGGAGTAAACGTACGCAATAACCGGAAGATTTATCGAAAGCATAAAATCGGAGTTTAATACATTTCCTCCCCCATCTTTTTCTTCTTGCCGACATATAATTCGTACAGAATTGTTTTTCCAATTTATTTTATTTTACATATCAAACAAAATTTTTTTGTCCACCATTTTTAAACACGACGATTACATATAAAGATTTTTATTGTGTAATAAGCTTAAAAAAAATAGTATTATGTCCAGCAACGTTAGAGAATTGTTTATCCGAGATATTTCCTCTGACGCAGACGTAATCAATATTTCTAGGGTGGAAGTACAAGACGGTGAAGTCAGTGACCGCCATTGGCAAGCTTCCAACACCAATATCCTTCCGAGTTTCCTTTTGTAATTTGAAAAAATACGTATACCGAAACATTCTAACAGAAATTGTGACCTTTTAGACGTCACATTGTCATATTTGGTGACGACGAAAAATATTCTTGCATACGTATAACAGATAAATTTCATTACGGCCGAGCGAGCATTAAATCAATAATGTCACTCCTTCCAATATAGCTTCACTGCATTACTCCAGTGCTGAGTAAATAAGTTTGGCTGCCCTTTTAACCTTTCGTTTACCTTCGAGAAATAAATGCGTTTCTAATTAAATACGATAAATATTATATCGTAACTATTAAAGTATTTGAGACGTCGTCGCCGCCGCCTTTAAAAAAATTCACGGATATTAATTTTTAAAATGGAATCATTCCAGATTTTTTTCCTTATTTCTCTCTCTGTTCATTATTTTCTGGCGTATAATTTCTATCCGAATTGATTTAAAATTAGGAATTCTGTGCTCAAAATTGGCTTAAAGATGGATGAAATTAATGGATTATTTATGGGATTGGAAAATGCAATTTTTTTTGGTAGTTTAATCTAAAAATAAATATTTAATAATTATTAATTTGGAGGAAAAATTGTTTCTATTTTTAATAAAATGGAAGGAAATTAAATGGCTATTTATTTATGTTTATTTAATGATTTTATTACATCAAAAAATTTAATCATTAAAACACAAAAAAAGGGGAAAAATGAAAGTGCATTCTATTAATCACTAAAATAACTTTTTGAAATAAATTGATCCATAAGAGAGAGAATTGCAGTCAATATATATAATTAGAATATATTGATTTTGTTTAATCATTTCCATGTTTTTCATTTTTATTTATGATATTGATAATCGTGTTGATTTAAATCAAATTGTTTTCTTTATGTGCATAATTAGAAAAAATCTACTGAAAAATTGATAAATTTCTTCATTTGTTTAATTTGTAACGACCAAAAAACAAAAATTCTTTTATTCTTTGAAAAAGTTTTGTATATTTTAAGTTCTTATATAAAATAAATATTTTAATCTTAATTTTTTTGTAATTATAATTTAGAAATAACAACAGCACATTAAATATTTTACAGTAAGTAGAAGATATACAAGAAAAATCTTTTACAGTAAATAGACACAAGAAAAATCTTAATTGGTTTTACATAAAAAATTTTCTTTCATGAAACTGGATTGTCAATATAATGTATCTCAATATATATATATATGTTTATCTAACAATGTTCAAGAATATGAAGAAAATTTTTCAGGTACAAGGATCAATATTACAATTTTTTTACTGTATGCATACAAAACGAATCAAAATTCTCCTGCAGAATATGTAATGTAAAAATATATAAATAATTTCAAATTACAAATGTAAATGACTAGAAACGATCAATGTCATTAACAGACCAATTTCAGGAAAGTCTGTTACAAATGTAAATAACATGATTTATTTTTTTTTTAGATTTCATTAGGGAACAAAATCTTTATCTGAATTTATTCGCATGAAATTTAATAATGCAAAAACATAGAATAAAGGAGCAGTTGAGTCAATCATAATACTGCCACAACCGGTGACTGATTTTTCTGTATGTTTGCAACTCCATAGAGGACACTGTGATGGATGATTGGATCGAATAAGATCAAGTAACAATAGCAAATGCAATAAAAATATATTGTAGAATGACAACATTTAGGAGTTCTTTGTTGAGAACAATTCAAATCGAAAGTTATAGACTGATGTTATCATGACATGATGATATATATATTTATAATCATGTATTGTAAGCAGGCGGTGGGACAAGTTTTCCACTGCTTGCTTACAATACAAGATGTTTAATTAAGTGATTGTTACGACTTTCTTGTTAGCAAAATTTCCCTAGACTTTTCCAGCTATAATGAATATCACAGTTTTGTCTAAATTTTACTATGTAGAAAAAGAAAAATCAAATTTTCTATTAAAAAAATTTACAATGAGAATATAATTTAATAATATTTTAAATTGTAAATATCTTTGTAATTTTAAACATTTTTAAAGATTAAATTGTACTTCATAATTTGACAATACTGATTTTAAAATAATTATACAGCAAAAATTAATAATAATAATAATTGATACTTAAAAGTTGAGAAAATATGAATTTTAACATTTAGGAAATAAAGAAAAAGTAAATATAATTACAAAAATTTCTAAACTATTCATGCATACAAAGCAGTATCCTCCTTACGAGACAGGATTATATTTTTCTATTACAAATTCTAAGAAATTTTTTTGTATGAAAATTATAAGAACTTTTAATAGTATAACAAAAACAGTTTTCTACTAAGATAAATAAATATTGAGTTTCATAAAGGTTGAATAGAATTTCTGGATATATCAGATGGCTATTTAATGACTTTTTATCTAAAA